CACATGGCCTGACGATAGTGACAGTATGGAACAAGCAAATCTGAATCTCACGTGTATTAGGGACGGAAATCACGTTACTGTTACGTCTGCTGAGCAGCTTTACAGCACATGCACATTATTATCGGCAAACAGTAATAATTCTAATCATTTAGATATTGAAGAGATTCTAAAAAGATGTACAGATCAAGAAGACAAGCAGACGTACTACGAAAAGTTTAGCTCACTTGGCCTTCAATACGGCCCATCGTTTCAAGTGGTAAATAAAGTGATGAATGGTGATGGAGAATCTCTTGGATATCTATGCCCAGCTGACGATAACAAGCAGCGCATACAGGCGACACACTTGGATGGATCATTCCAACTACTATTACACAGTGTCGGCCACACTACAACTCTTTATATCCCAGTTGCTATTATACACCTCGAAATGTACACACCAAAGATTCCACCATTCGAGGAAATTCTGGTCCATGCGAAAGTAACTGAATGCGACAGTTATACATTGCTTGGTGACTTAACTATGGCAACAAAAGATGGCAAGATATTGGCAGTTATGTCTGGTGTCAAATGTCAAAACCTTAGCGGAATCAAATCGAATGTAGATATAGATACGTGTTTGTATCAGACACATTGGCAACCATCTACATCATGTTTGGGTAGCACCTCAGTCTTACAAGAGGTTTTTCGGAGCATGAAGAACAGTGACCGCTACTTGGATGATTTAGAGAGTATCAGAAAAGCTGAAGAGCGAGTTCCTATCATAAAGGGTATATGTGCATCATATGTGCGTCATGGTCTTGATAATGGTAACAAAGACACTTTTAATTTAAATCCACGTTATCTCAAGTGCTTAGAAAGGATTGCAGCAGACAAATCAGTTTTGGATATAAAATATGAAGACATACACTCAAATCTAGACAAGCTCAAAGAATACGTACCGGAGCTTGAGCAGGAAATTGAAATGATAAGAAGTATTGGAGATAACTTTCCTAAGACTTTAGTAGACCCTGGAAGCGCAGTTAAGATGCTATTTCAACCTGAATTTCTCCCAAAGTATTTCATTGAATCACTTACCACGAGACTTTATTACAAGTCAGCTGCAGACATCATTTCAAAGATAATCAATGATGCATGTGAACATAAACAGGTTGTCCGTGTGTTGGAATTGGGAGGTCGTATGGGAGGTCTCGCAAGACACATATTAGAGCCGTTAAAACAACTAGGCGAACAACGTCGAGTTGAGTATATATTTACAGATCTTAGTGCCACATTTTTTATGCATGCCCAAGGTACACTCGAGGAGTATCCATTTGTGAAATACAAACAGTTAGACATAGAAGCTGACGTATCCAGCCAAGGATTTACTCCTGGTTCGATAGATTTAGTCGTATGCTTAGATGGAATGCACCCAGTGGTAGATATCAATGCAACACTTCAAAATGTCAAAGATCTGTTAGTTGACGATGGTCTATTTTTAATGTATGAGGGAACAAATGCTAATTACATTATTGAGTTAGTGTTCGGAGCCCTTGATCTTTGTTGGGTTTACGATGACTTTAGAAAAGATTGCTGCTGGCTGACAAGAGAAGGATATGCCCAGGCACTAAGAAACAGCGGTTTCACTGATGTAGTATCCGAGTCAACACCAGGAGAGTTCTTCCATAGTGTGTTTCTTGGCCGAAGTTCATTAACATCTAACGAATCTAAAGAGAACACGAAGGACAGAAACTACATGCTTGTCGTAGAAAATGAACAGTGTCCATTGATTAAAGACATCAAGAAGTGTCTCAATTGTGATGTAATAGTCAAATCATATGCTGATGTGAACTCAGGAAATTTTATTAAAGAATCTCAAGACTTGCCTTACGAACTAATTTACTTGTGGGGAGATAGTGATCGTTTATGTCATGCACTGTTGAAAGTACTACAGAAGATTGACAGTGACCCTGACAAATTTACAAAACTATGGGTAGTGACATGTGGATCAAACATGACATATTCAAATATTGAATGCAGCCCAGCCATTGGTCTTGTAAGAGCAGTGACAAATCAATGCAGTACACCTGTATTTTCAGTAGATATCGACCCTAGTAGTCAAGTAGCAACACAAGCCAAACTACTTGTACCCTACATAACAGCACCATTTTCCTTTGAGAGGGAAGTTTCCATACGGGGTGGGTCGTATTTCTATCCTAGACTGGCTTCTTACAACCCATTAACTAAAATGGTAATTAGTGGTCAGTCTTATTGGCAATTAACCCAAACTTCAAACGCAGGCCTCTCTTCAATCAGCGATCTCGGTATTTCGTACAGAAGTGAAATGGTTCCATCCCCTGGTAAAGTGCTTGTTAAAGTGAAGAGCGCAGCTTTGAATTTCAAAGATGTTATGATGGCGCTTGGCATGCTTGATGATTTGTTAACATCAGATGAAAAACCGTTCGGTCTAGAGTTGAGTGGTGTAGTTGAGACCGTTGGAGAAGGTGTAAGTACGGTCAGTGTTGGTGATGAAGTCATTGGAATTGGAGAACATTGTTTTGCCTCACATAGTATCTGCAATGCTCAGCTTATCGTTAAGAAACCATCAAATCTATCATGGGATGAAAGCGCAGGCGTTTCAATCGTTTTTGCTACATCATATCACAGTCTTGTTGAACGTGCCAATCTACAGAAGGGGGAAACAGTCTTGATACACTCTGCTTGTGGTGGTGTAGGATTGAGTGCCATTCAGGTTGCCAGAATGGTTGGTGCAAACATCATTTGCACTGCCGGAACAGAGAAAAAACGCAAATTCTTAAAAGAGACTCTTGGCATTACACAAGTAACTGATTCACGTTCAGATGCTTTTTACGCTGACGTCATGAGCTGGACAGACGGCAAAGGTGTAGACGTTGTGCTGAATTCGTTGTATGGTGAACTTCTTACCAAAGGAGTAAAAAGTCTTGCTACCGGTGGCAGGTTCTGCGAGATTGGTAAAAGAGATATTCTTCAGAGCTCAAATCTTAATATGCAATTATTCCTAGAAAACAAATCTTTTCTATCCTGTCAAATAGACTTTATGGTCGATCTGCAGAAAGACAAAGCACAGAAGCTACTACAGAAAGTATCATCTTTATTCGAAAAGAGAATACTTAAGCATGTCCCGTATGCTGTCCATCCGATCACTGAGTACAATGATGTGTTCCTAACAACTGCAAAGGGATCCCATATCGGAAAAGTAATATTCTCAATTCCAGATAATTTTCAGCCTCCGAAGATTAATCAGTCATCAATGCTTTTCAAACAAAATGCCACTTACGTGATTACGGGTGCTTTCGGTGGAATTGGTCTCGCAATGTCACGCTGGATTGCTATCAAAGGCGCGAAACATGTAGTAATGGTTTCCAGACGGGGATGTCGAAGCTCGGCTGGTCGACGAGCAATGGAGTTTATGAAACGCAAAGGTGTCACGATTTATGAATTTGCAACGGACCTTGGTGAGAAGAAAAATATTCAACATATGCTGGAACAATTAAAGACCAGGGGAGCACCACCCCTCAAGGGATTGTTTCACTTGGCAGGGTACATTGCTGCAGAATCCCTTCAAACACTCACTCCTGAAGAAACAGACAAGATCCTCTACTCAAAAGCAATAAGTGCTCAGTACTTCCACTCTCTTACTAAAGATCAAGATCTCGACGTGTTCTTCTTGTTATCGTCAGTGACATCTGTATGGGGACATTCTTCACAACCGATGTACGTCGCGGCGAATAACTACCTGGATTCACTTGCTGAACAAAGGAAACGCAAGGGACTAGCATCTCTAAGTGTCCAGCTTGCACCCATCCGAGGAGCTGGATTCTTGGAAGACAAATCGGATATTACCAACACAATAGCTATTAAAGGAAACATCACACTTCACGTTGAAGAGTTCCTGACCTCGATGTCAACTTTACTACAATCATCAAATGTACCAGCCGTTGTATGCCTTGCAAATCAGGTATGAAGATCCTTATTATTAGTAACATGTTACATGAAATTAACATCCCGACCAACATCAATAAGTAAACAACATAAATAATAAAAATAAGAAATTATCTATACCCAAGTAACTCAAAACAATACAATATCACATAGATTCAGTAACTTGGAAAAAACACGAGATCTTGATTTAAGATCAATTAAAAAATTATTAAAATCAAATCAAATGTCCGTTATTATTTATATAAATATAAAATTTGCCTAAGGTGAACGGAATGATTATGACAATGTAATAAATAATAACTATACCAATCTTATTATATTATTAAACATAAAACGGCAGAAATTTAGAGATCAAGTATTTAAGTATTTAACACTCAAGCTTATGTGTTGCAGTGCACCATGAGTGGAGACCTACGAACGATTCTGCCAAATATATTAAATAAATACATATTATTTACTGATTATAATGTTATCAATTCTTTTCAAAGTAATCTTTTAATAACACTCTGGAAATGTACAGATATGTAACTCTTATGATTATTTACGTGAGGTTCTTAAGGTTGATTCTCTGTTGCGTTTATTAATAAGTCTATGTTTGTATCACATAAGAGTCGATTCGACTTTGTAATCTCAAAGATTATTGAGATCATATATATAAATATATATATATATAATTTATATAATTTCCTATATATATATATATATATATATATATATATTTCTTCTTAAATTGTAAAGTAACTGTTTGCATATTATTAAGTTTCCAATCCTAATTGCAAATAGCAATTACCAAAAATTGTAAAATTTAAACAATAAATTATCTTTTCATTACAGAACTGGACTGATACTCAGAAGTTTACATATAACGACAGCTGCAAATACAGACACTTTGTGAAAGGTGAGAATGTAGGAAAGACAGATTGCTCCTTGAGCCTTGAAGATGTAGAAAAGACTGTAAAAGAAATGCTAGGCAAATTGCTGTTCGTAGAACCTGAGAGTATTGACGTTAACCAACCAATGATCAACTATGGAGTCGACTCTATGATGGCAGTAGAAATGGTCACATGGGCCAGTAAAGAGCTGAATGTGGTTGTCTCTCAGCTTGATATTCTAGGAGGTATCACTACAAAGGTGTTACTGCAGAAGGCGCTACAGAATGATGTTGTGTTACCTTTGAAAGAAGCTTAGATACTATTTTAGCTCAGTTGATATTATTGAGAACTGTTTAGAGGTAATGAACTCTGATGAAATTACATTTGCATTGTTAAATAGGCATATACATATTTATCTAAAATTATAATAATTATATACGTTATATATCAGTACGAAATATATATTCCTATAAATAAATAATATATACGTACATAGGCCTATTATTATACACGATGGCTACATCTCGGTTGAAAAATTTTGAATGTAAACGTAAGTTAAGCA